GAAAGTGTGGTGATCCTAAAGAGCATGTTCTCCATGAAATTTAACAAAACGAGGGCAGCTGTTAAGAAAATTCTATGAGACTTTTCATCTCAGGCTGAGCAATGTAGGTTTATATCAGTAATGAAATTGCCAACGTACTTTTCAGGACTACAATGGATACTTTATCTAAACCCCAAACTGTCCCTCCTTCCAGATAAGACAACCTCTGTGCTGTATTAGTTGGTAATTTCTTAATATTGGCTTCATTCTTTGGGTGTAGAGGAAAAGAGGTTCCCATGAAACAGTGATAATTCTTTTGATAAAGCAACAGATATAATTTGAAGGTTTTTAATGTTATTTTTGTTGTCCTCCTCTGTTGCCCACTACTTGAAGGGAGCATAATCAACTGATCTAAATGCTATGCCTTGAAAATGATCCATAAAATACCAGGGAATTCTGGACTTGTTAAGAGTGGAACAAGGTGATGAATCAAGTTTTTACTATTTTCTTTTTTGCAGGAAGAACCCACAGCACAAGCTGGAATACAAGCACACTGCACCTCCAGGTAAGCCAACTTGTTCAATACTGCTCAAAGTGTGAGGAAAAAAACCCCAAACCCAGTGATGGATACCCAAAAGTTGTAATAAAATGCTTTAATCTACTTTGAGAATAAAATTTACATCTTACTCTATATTTGGATTATTTTTTTCTGGGATTTTTTTTTCTTCTGATAAGTTACAATTTTAAAGTTTTTTGATGCTCTGAACCAAACATTGCAACCATATCTGTCATCTTTCTGTATTTTTCGGGGGGAGGTGACCAAATTGTGAGAACTAATTTTTGCATATATGTTCTTTTGAGGCCTAAAACTGAATTTGAGTTCCTATTCTAACACTCTGTAGTCTTTTTATATTTTAGCAACTTGACTTGTTGAAAAACACAGGGGAATGTGCTGTTTGCATTTTGTCTGTTCTTAAAGAATTGAAAGAGATACTTCACATTTTTTTTGTGCTTTTTCTAGATTATTGAATCTGGGGTTTTTTTCCACATGAAATCCCAATGCAATAAACAGTAGTTTAGAGCAGAGCAGTTATGGAATTGTAATAACGTATTGTACTGTAAAGACTCAGGAGTGTGACATTACTAAGGAAGGAACTGCAGTTATGGAAACAATAGTGTAAAATATATAAATGCCTTTAAATACTCCAGCTTTCTTCCTAAAAACCCCCAACCTTTGTTGGTGACATTTGTCTACAGGTGGCAGGGGTCATAGCATTGAGAACAGTTTGTCTGGATAATCTCTTGGGAATGATTCAAGACAATCATTGATTTTCTTGATTCAAGACAACCAAACTCTGCTGGTTTTGGGCAGCAGAGTAGCTTTTATACTTGTAAGTGCAGCACAACCATTGCAGGATTTGTTTAACAGCATAACCCTTATGTCAGGGTTCAATCTGTCCTGACTAAAAACTTCCCTTTCTTTAGGAACTGAAAGAGGAACCCGACAACGAACTTCAAGAAATGGTGAGTGTGTTCTAAAGTTATGAATGGGCATATCAACACGGGGCACAGCTGGTCTGCTGTGGGTTTTTTTGGCATTTAGTAGTACTATAGATGCTTGCTAATACTTACCTGAGGAGAAAGTAGTTGTTACTTATTTTAGTAAAAACCCTTCTTGTTTTTTTACAAGTGATACTGCTTCAATTGAATTTGTGCCAGGCTTTCTGGATAATTATCTCTGTACTTCCCTGGAAGCAGGCAAGCAAACAAACAAGCTTTTTAAGGGGAGACACACACGGCTAAATCAATTCTTCCTTCCTTACACAGGGGCCATAGTAGGATGAAAAGAATCCAATATTTTATACAAACCTAGTTAAGGTTTTCCCTGTGAAGATTGATTGCTCCTGAAACATGTAGATATTCCTTGTGCATTCCATTGACCTTGAAATAACTTTCAAGTGATAATCTGTGCACGTGAACATGAACTTTTCCTAAACTTGCAATTAGGTATTGATATTTCAGGGTAAATACTGGCTTGTTAGGACTAAAGTGAAAGAAGTTTATACATTGTGGTTGCATAGTTTTAAATACGCTTAAGGACTGCTTCCAGGATTCTTTTGTGTCTCACCTTCTAAATGTGAAGCTTCTTATTCTTTCTAAAATAATTTAAAAGTGAGCTTTAAAGAGCAGTGAAATTGTGATGCTATGTAGTCTTTGCTGTCACTGGCCTGAGCAAGACAGGAAGGTGTGGAACTGCTGTGTGTTGAGCAGAAGTGGGAACTGGCTTGTCTTCCTTGAGATCACCAAGGTGTGGCTGGGCATTTCCTAAAGAATTCCTCAAATGAGGTCTACCTTCTAGAGAAAATAAATAAAAGTGCAAATACTTGTAGTTAGTTTTCTAGACAAAGTGATTTGGCCTTCATTTCTGTTGTGGGTGAGTGCAGGAGGTTGTTTTAAACTTCCTGCTGAGAAATTTCTTTCCCATACCAATTCCTTATCAAACATGTGCACTTTGACTCTCACCAAATGCTTGCTATGACTGTATCTGTGCACCAGAATACTCCGAGGCATATTTGTTACCTATGTGCTTCGGTGCATCCTGTTATACAAGTACCAGCCCCATCTTGATCAGAGATCCCTTGTAAAAATGTGTTACAAAGTGGTCAGAGCTGTTGGCAGCAGTGTAAGAGCAGTGAGTGGTGAAGATTTTGGAATGAAACTGGGCTGGGCTGTGTGCACATCTAAAAGTCTAAATCTATCAAATTCAACTCTCGTTACTAAGTAAGAACTGGGGAAGAATTGATATTCCATGCACGGGGGAAAAAAGGGAATTAATTAATTAAAGTGTTCTTCATATTTACTGGATTTTTAAAAATTTTTAAATATCTTTTTGACTGGCTTACTTAGCTCTCTCTCAAGGGCAGAGCTTCTGAAAGGTAATGCTCAGCAGGTTCACACCTGAGACAGTTGTACCAAGCAGGGTCACACAAACAGTCAGGGCTTCTTTAACCTTTATTTTTGCACAACTGCACCATTAAGCATAGCAGGATTAGTTTGCCTACATGTGTATTTAAACTCCACCAGCCAAGAGAAGAGGCTCTACGTGACATTTGACATGTTTGGTTTTTAACATTTTTAGTCTAATTGCTACCCGAGGGTTTACGAATTGCCTGCAGAGAATGTTCCAAGAAATAGTCTGAGACAAATTACTGGGGGAGTAGTTGTGAGGGAGGAAGAAAAAAAAATGTCAAGAGTTATGCTGTCATTAAATTGTCACAACTGAATGACCTCATTGTATTGTTGCTACTGAGATGAATGACCTGCTGTGACCATAGAATATGCAGGATTCTCCTACACATTTCTTTGTAGGTTTTCTAGGAAGCTGATCAGCTCACTTCCAAGTAGAACTCTTTGGGAGGAGTGGTCAGCAAGCTTTTTCTCCCCACGTGAAGGAGATACTTTCAGAGAAAGTTTAAAGGTCATCTTTATAAATACAGCACTGGGGAAGAGGCAGAAATGAGCAGTGTTGGGGACTGTGGTGCTGAATTAAACTACAGTGGAAAGAGATGGATGGGGAAGACATGGAAGGAAGTGCATCATTCCCTGCTGAAGTCTAAAAGCATGGGTGTACAGGGAGGGAGAACATAGTATGCTTGTCCTGCATTTGTAGGAAAAATACAGAAGTCATAAGTATTGTGCCAGAATTCCTGCTTCTCTTGTAAAATGTCCCCATAGTTGTGTGAAAGTGAAGAAGAGCTTTTCTTTGCTAAGCAGCTCTTGGGCTTATTATTCTCATAAGCTTAGTCTGAGTAGTGGGATTTTGTTCTTATGGCTTTCCGCATCTTTGTTTTGGTTCCTCCCCTTCAAGCCATAACTCATTCTGCAGAACCATAGTCTGTGATGAATCTTACAAGAAATGTCAGCTGGTATGGGCTGACATGGCCATGATTAATTTCCACTGAAGTCTGTTAAACAATAAACTAGCAAGCATAAAAAGGAAGATAATTCTGGAACAGTACCATTCCCAGTAATAAAAAAGTGTAATTGAGAGAGTCTGTGGTCTGACTACACAAGGTAACAGTGGTGGTGGTTGTTCACCACACGCAGCTTGAGTGCCTGGAACTCTGACCTAAAGCTTTAAGAGTTTGCTGGAAAGTGCTTATGGCTAATATAAATGTGAGGATTTGGACTGGGGTCTGTAGCTGAGAAAAAAATACATGTTTATAGTTTCATTTGAAAGCTGATGATAACTGCTCAACAGATAAGTTATCTGTCCCTATATCGAGAGAGAAGAATGCCAAAATTGGAGGCTTAGACTCAGAAGTGTGACTTAATGGCAGAATAAGATATGATTGGAGTATTAACAGGCCATGGCTAGTTGGGAATTGTGGACATGTAAGAAAAAGGGAGATGTCATAGGCTTGCAGAGAAAAGGTTACACATACCTGCCAAAATGCAGTGAAAATTACTTTGTTGAAGGTGCTCACTACTGATAAATAAAAGAAGTCAATGCTGCCATGGCAGCAGTTATCTATAGATACCTACCTATCGATACCTACCAAGTCAGATAGATAAGGCTTCTTCAAACAGCAGAATTATCCTGCCTCTGGGAATCAATTTAAATGTGCCAACATGTTCAAGCAATGCAAAGACTGCTGCAAGACAAACTGTAAGAAAATTTTGGAGCATGCTGTGAATGGCATCCATTTCTTGGAAAGCAGTGCGATATAACAGACTGAACTGGGACACGGGTACACTGCCCTCAGCTGAGGAAACTGTTCAGCACTTGTTATTTCCTTAACCCATGTTCAGAAAGGAAGCACAGACTATCCAGCATGGGTCCAAATGGAGAACATACGAGGCAAGTGATGTAGAAGACTCCCTTCTCTCACCTGAAGCTCAGGAAAGAAGTGAGTAGGAATTAAAAGCCATGTCAGATTCCAAAGACTGAAAGTATAAAATAGCCCTAAGTATATATGGATGGATGAAGAAGTCGTCTTTGATCTAGGATCAAAGTAACCATGGAAGTAAATCAGAAGATAGATCTGTTTAGGTGATTCCTTCTCCTCTCGAGGAGAGAGACTTAACTTGGTGGGCTCTGGGAGGGCTCTTGGGTTCTGCACGTATGATTCAGGAATACATGACATTTTTGTCCCTACAGGAAAAAGGGCTGTGGAGAAAGACAGTGCCAATGATGGTGAAGCCAATGAGTATGACCTCAATGACAGCTTTATAGATGATGAGGAAGAGGAGTGCGAACCTACTGATGAGGACTCAGACTGGGAACCAAGTTCAGAAGAAAAGGACAATGAGGATGTTGAAACACTTGTGCAAGATGCAGGTAGATTTCTTAAGACCAAAAAATAGCTGGTTGGAACGATGCTATGAGTGTCCAACGTGGTTCTGTTAAGACGTTGTTGGACAGAGGAGAGGAATTGTTTGAAAACTTTTTCTCAGTGATGTAGGAGTTACAGGAAGATTTTAGTGGGGTCGGGGGATTCAGCAATGCCTTTTTGTCCATATGTATTATTTTGGGGGTGGTGGGGTGCTTTTTTTGTTAAGTGGTGGACCCACTAGGATAGAGCTCTGAAAATTTTGGTTGTTTTTTCTTTCTTTTCCTCATCTATTTGTTTTACAATGCCCTTGGTGTCTCTTATTTTGAAATACAATTTTAAAGGTTGTTAAAACTTCATCTCCCTGTGCTTGAAAGAAATACTGGCATTAGGAAAGCCTAAACCATTTCTTAATGTTCCTTTGAGTTAGTGCAGTTTTAAACTTCATTATTCTGCTTGCAGTTTTCCTTTTAGGTATCATTTTGTTGGTTGTCTTAAGGTACAGTAATTAAATACAAATTGTCTAAATCCCTTCAGAACAGTATCTCAAGTGTATTGAACCACTTGGTTGGCTCAACAACAGTTATGGTGTATTTGCTCCGATTACAACAGTACTTCTTTCCATGCCCGTATATCACTGGAATTGTGTTCAGTTCTCAGCAAAGCTGAAGTCTTGATGACTGACTGTATTTTTGCACAAATAAACTTGTAACATACAGTAGGAAAGATGTGTAACTGTGTGTCTGTGACTTCTAAAGACATTGTTGGAATATCTTGCCTTCAGTGTGTTCACCACTTCCCTGAACCTCCTAGAAAGTAAATTAAAAAGTTTTAGTATGTTTTGGGGCAGCTGACTGGAGCCATATGAATTTGGCACTTTTTTGGACACAGTCCTAAAGTTCAGCAGGGGAATCATTCTTGTGTGGCTGCAAATAGGCATCCAAATACACTCCAGCTGTTTTTATGACTTTTCAGGAGGACTCTGTGGATGTAGTGTGCTCTACAATGCCCATACTGGGTTTTTTGACTCAGGCTCACACGCCCCTCTTGTTGTAATGAGGCTCCTCTTAAAGAAAAAACTGCTAAGGGAAACCAAATCCAGTGGTGCCTGGGCCTTGCCATTTCTGCACCGAGTTGTGTGTGGCCTCAGCCCCTCCCTACAGCCCTGAGCCCTCCTGCTCCCACCATGTTGGGGCTGTGTTGGGTGGGAAAGCTGTTGCCCTCAGGGCCAGGAGACAGGTGAGCCAGTCTGGAAGCCATGGGCCAGACCTGCTGGACCACCATGTTGTTGCTCCTGACCACCTCGGGAGCCAGCTCCTTACCTCATGGACCCTCTGGAGCCCTTCACCTTGTCCACCCTGAGAAGCTGCCCCACAAAAGTCTTTCACTGTGCCACCCCTGAAGAGTTTTATGCTGTGCTGTGCTGCCTCTGCAGGAGCCCTTTGCCATAAGGCCCAGCTCTTTTTGGAATCTCATGTTGTATTATGTTGGTTTCCTTCACCTTACTGCCCAACTTTTATTGGAGTCGTTCATCACAGTCTCACAGAGAAGTCCTTCACTGTCTTTCTTTAGCACATTGCCCACTGATTCTTTTGTTTTCTTCCTCACCTGGTATTTTTTGGAGTGGAGTGCATCACCACATGTGGCCCTGGAGTAGTCCTTCAGACCTGTTTGTTTTATTTCTTTGGCTTTTCAGAGGCTCCCACCTCTTTTTGAGGTGTTTCACCCTATGGCTTTTCTCTTGACTTCTACAGTGACTGGTGTATGTTGGAGCACTTTACAGAGCTATTCTGGAGCAGTGCTTCACCCCGGGCTTTTTCGGAGTTCTGCATGCCCAGGTTTTATTGCTGTGCTTTCCTGCTTCCTGTGATGCTTTCCATGTGTTAACTTCCACATTTTTTCTTCTGGAACCAGCAGATGAGCAGGTAGAGAAGTTTAAATGGGGTTTTGATGATTCTTTTTAGCTTGGGGATGCCTTTTTCCAGGGAATATTGCCATCTTAATGTGTCTTCTGTCGCTTACCAAGTCTTGGTTTTGAGGAAGGTGACTTTGTGCCTTGAGCAACCATGTCCTCAGTGATGTTTCTTACTATCCATGATTATTGGTGGTTTTACATCGGGGTTTGTCCTGTGTTCTTTTTTTCTGCGTGGTATTACAAAGGTCACTTTAGAAGCTGCAGGGATCCCCGCCTCATCAGTGATTTTGAGGTGCAGCTAAGGGAGCTCGGGTTGTTTAGCCTGGAGAAGAGGAGGCTCAGGGGTGATCTTACCACTCTCTACAACTACCTGAAAGGAGGTTGTAGCTGGGTGGGGT